GGCGACAGCTGCAACTGACGGCCGAGACGACTAAGGAAGCGAAGAGGAGAATGCGCTCACCCTGTTGGTGGAGGAAAACCGCGGTTTGGAGCGGTGGTGGGAAGAGATAGCCGGCATTAAAGCAGAGCCGGAAGACCCAGCGGTTGTACCGGATATAGCGATGGTTGCAGGAAGATGCAGCACAGCCAGCAGCGATACCGGATGACTGGCGAAATTTTAGCGACACAAACCCGTTACCTAGAGAACTGGTAAGGGTCATTCAAGAGCAGATGCAGCGACAACAAAATAGACGCCAGACCTTCAGGCATCCGGTGAGTACAATGTTATACCGCGTGCGTATCACAGGCGCGGGGATGGTGACGATCACGCGTCCAGAGGGAAGTAAAGGGGGAGTGTGAAGACCCCAAGTCCATCACTAAAGGTCTCCACAATTGGAATCTCATTTATATATACTTATACCTTGAAGTTGCCAAAATTGTTATTATATATTCATATATACACATGAACATATATATATAGAACTGTTGAATTTATTTACTTGTCTACATACTAAATGAATTGTTTATTATATACATACGTAAAAGTGAAATACATATGTAGATATTTATATTGAAATTTGAAGTATATACATACGTACTTGGTATGAACAAGTAAAAGGAAGTAAAGAATATATTAGCAACAATGTTGTTAGGATAACTGTCTGCCTGGGTGCAAATGGAATTAGAAATCACTTCTGGTAGAGTAGTAGTAGATTGGAACGACTAAGCAACGATTGTGAAAACTAAGCTGCTTAGTAGGTAGTTAAGGTATATGGTGTGACGTGAGAACTCTGCCAAAGCAATACGTTATATTCGTGTGAGGTGAAAACGCTGCAAAGTAGTATTTATATGGTGTGACGTGAAAATGCTGCCAAGGATATACGTTATATTGGTGTGACGTGCAAACGCTGCCAACTAAATAGCGAAATAAAGAAGCGTCACTATAAGAATCATTCGCGTATTTATTTAAACATTTGGAAAGGGGAACCCAACATCCGACTGAGCCACAGCCCAGCTATAGACCGGATAAACCGGGTTCGTTACAAATAAAATAGAACGCGTTCAAAAAGTAGGCAGTTCAGCGGTAGATGAAATGAGTTAACTACTTGCAACACTGCAAAAATTATGTGCAAAAACGGCGGAAGCAACTGTACTCGTGTTTTATTTTTTGAAGTTGGTTATTATTTTGTATAACTGTTATGTATTTGCAAGTAACTTTTGGATGGCATAAGAAAAAAAATCAATTTCGGTTGAATATTGACGTTGAAAACTTACTATTGGTGACCCTATCTTATCCGAATTTCATGCAGGGTCCAATAAACTGCCTAGCAAAACTATTCGTTTTATAATAAAAAAAAGCTTGCTTTACGTACCTGATTCCTTCAGATAAAATAGTTGATAAAATCCGTGTCGTATAAAACCCGGGCCCATCATTTACAGTTATTACAACTTTTCCTTGTTTGAGGCCCACTGCAACAGCTTTAGCAGTAGTTTCTTTAGACGTTTGAGAATGTGTAATTATTTCGAGTAATTGCATCTTGTCAACAGGTGAAAAATAATGCATGCCAATCAAATTTTCAGGTCGTGAGCTTCCTTCGGCTATTACTTTGATAGGGATAGCACTTGTATTTGTAGCAATTATACAATGTGAGGGCACTACAGCCTCTAACTCGGATATAACCGCATGCTTAACTTGTATGTCTTCGAACACTGCCTCTATAACCATATCTGCGTTTTTTAATTTTTCATAACTAAGAGTAGGCTTCAAATTCGAGAGCATTTGATCGCGCTTAAATTTGCTGATTTTATTTCGTTTAACCTGGCTCTCAATTCCTTTATGGATCTGTTCCATACCTCGCGCGAGTCCAGCATAGGACGTATCTTTTATTACAACTTGATATTCATTTTTTATCGATACCTGGGCTATGCCCGCTCCCATAAGACCAGCACCAAGTACACCAACCGTTTTGATATCTTCCACTGTATCCCCGAAGCGATTTTTTTTACATTCAGTCTGACCACGAAAAAGGCCTATAAGTCCTCTTGATTCTGGAGTCATAGCTAACTCTCCAAAGGCTCTGCTTTCGGCCTTGTATCCAGCGGATGAACCCTCGTCGATACCTGTTCTTATAACATCAAGAATTTTTAAAGGTGCTGGGTATAGACCATTTGTGAATTTTATTATTCGGCTTCGTGCTGTGTTAAATATTTTATTTTTGACAAATTCCAGGTTTATGGCGAAGTGCGAAACCTGATCTGTTAATTTTTTGCTGTCTCGTTTAACCTGCGAGAAAGAAAATGTTTTTGACTGAAATGTGTAAGGGGTTTCTATATAAAAATAACAATTTTATAAACGTTGTTTTTTTTTTAGTTGAAACTAGTAGAACTGACTATTGTCTGGAAAAAACGTAAGTTATGTACTATATTAAAATGAATATTATTTGAGTTCTTGAGGCTATCACTTATTAGTTCAGTAAAATTATACTCTCAATATACACAGCCACTCAGCAGAATAGGTTCAGCATGATTTTCAACTTTAACTGGACATTGCTGGTCGTAACCCCTTATAGGCTGTTTTTACAAATGCGAATTCGAGCCCAGTTCAATTCTTAAACAAACAATTTTTACGTTTTTTTCCCCAAAAGAATTGAGAAAAAAGAAAATTAAATTGTTCATTAGACCTGGGGTTCTTAAACGTTTAAGATGATGGAAACCTTTAATTTTATGGAATCGCACATCATATTACAAACAAGTAATTTTTAAGCGAAAAACACAACCGGCTTCAAATCTCATATAAAAATTTAGGAGTACCGTTAATTTTTTCATGATGCAATGGTCGGATCTAAACCAGATTAGTATGGGACCACCTCTGAGACACTACCTTTCCGATGCAAAAAGAGTTTTCGAAATCGGTTCCAAAGTTTTGCGATAACATACATAAAAAATAATAATATTCCGACGAATTGATAACCTCCTCCTTTTTTAAAGTTGGTTAAAAATCAAAGGCAGTACAATTTAAATATGAATAAAAACTTTTACCGGAAGTAGTATACATACTTTAAATGTTAATGTGAAGAATGAAATTGTTTCACTGTTATTAAATATTGTATAAAATAGTAGTTCGATATAATGTCTGGAAGTTGTATACCGAAAACCCTGTTGACAGAGTACGTTGTGATAGAAGGAAGCACAGTTAAAATGGCCTTTTTAGCGCCTTCATAATATTTACTCTTAACACTAACCTAAAACTCTTTCAGAGACACAGATTCAAATGTGTGTTTCAATGTCGAAGTACTCCGGAGATCAAAAAATGCTTCGTAAGTGGATTTTGTATCAAACCGATATTACTATTAACATCCGAAAAATAATCTGACAAAGATTTCAGGTGATTTACCAAGTGCCCAGTTATGGCATTTCACATTTCATTTGGCAATTCATCGCGTTCCTTGTAGAAAGTTGCATATAACCCTTTGGCTACAGCGGCCAACAACACATACCGGTTACAAAAACAAGCTGGCAAGCTCAACACCAGTATTGCCACTATTGGTATTTTCCGACCAAATTTGGTCGCTTCTTTTTCATTTGGTTGGTCGGCAAAGTAAGATTTTGGTCGGATAGTTGAAATAAGTTTTTAAATTCTTAATTATAAAAATATATATTTCAACACCACATTTGGCATATTAATATTTGCCATATATACCTTTTAAACGTTTGCCAATCCTGCCTTTAAAAATAAGAAACCTAATTGGTTTGGCCACTGATGTAGCCAATGTTATGGCTGGTTACTTGGGCGGGCTGAAAACATTATTGAGTGCAGCTACGCTTGTAAAAAATTGCCGAAAAGCATTGAGACATGTAACAGCCCTTCACTTAGGACGAATGTGTTTGTATCCGTGTGTAGCCACCGAATATGAAAATAACCATAATCGTTATACACCATCCAGCACTTAAGCGTTGGTGCGGGTCTTCGCTAGCCTGGCGGTCCCATATAGCAGTTGTGAGCATGTGTGTGTGTATGTTAACATATCTTGAGTGTTTAAATGTCGTTCATGGTAAGATGGGGATGAGTAACTTCCTCGGTTTAATCAGTCCTAATAAATTAGCACTGAAGGAGGCTGACGAGATCATTCTCGAAGTACAGTGCATCGATTAAGTACCGAGCGGTAGTGAAAGTGGTTTATGTTGGTGTAAAGTGCAGTGCCAAAAAAGTATATATATATATATAGTTAATAATATATACATATAACGTGCGATAAACGGTTTCCACTAAACACGTTCAACGGAATTCTTTTGACACCGTCATCTTTACGGGTCTTCAAAACCATCTATTGGTAGCTGTAAATCTAGGAAGTCGAGGTAAGTCTATATGTCTACATACACACGCCTAAATATGCCAAGGGAGGCTTGCTTGAAAATTTATTGTTCAGGTGACGGCGGAGTTATACGAGGCGAAGTAATGAAGCTAGAAAGCTGCTTTATTAATTAACCTTTTTGTTGCATCATGCAATTGAACAAAAATTCCTCCCTTTATCTATGTTCATATGTATGATCACATATTGAATGCGGTGGTTTTTCTGGGGAGGGAACGCTTTAGATGCCTACATATGCATGTATGTAGGTATGTAGCTGCGAACGCACACACACCCGTATGTGTATTCAAAATCCGAGAAAAGCCTTCACGCATGCATATGCACATAGGTTTTGGTCAGAGTTGTATTCAGGGTTTTTTTCAGGTCGCCAGTACCAGGGTGCAAAAGGACCTCGTGGGAGAATACCCAGGACTCCCGGGCACACTGAATTTTTTCATTAAAGTTGAAATAGCACGATGTCAACGTTCTACTTGGGG